ACCAAGAGGAACAATCAACAACGCATAACATGAACAATCAAACGCGAATCAGCAAATAGACCATGCGTCGATTGACACCCATAAATTGTATCGATCGATGCAGCCTCAGCATGTCGATGGACACGCCACCTCGGTGGCGACCGTCGCACACTGTGTCGATCGACACAAAAAAACTGCGTCGATCGACGCACGACACAGAAACCCAGAAATCGAACCTATCCTGTCACGGATCGGTTCCTGATCATCGATTCGATCTCCTGCACAAATCCACCAAAACACAACACGAAATCCACCAAACAATGCAAACAACCGCATCCTATATATTCCTTTACCCAGATAAGCCATGGTCACGCACTCACCTTGGTTCTGGATGGAAAAAAATGGAAATACAGCGAAGAACGTAAAAAATACGAAGAATGCGAAGAACGGATCCCCAAATCCAAAAATCCTCGTCTTTCTCACGAAGAACACATTCCCAAATCACGAAACCAAGCCTTTAGGATCGAGAACTCAAATGGAAACAATAATAACCCCTTTATCTCTCTTAATCCTCTAAACTCTCTAACACTCTGATTTTTCGGTCAAAACATGACAAAACGCGGCTCAATCCTTTAAATACCCGAGCCCTAGGGCTCTGCTAGACCGACACGCCAAACCGAACGATTAAATCGAACTAACCCGGTTCAATTGCTCTTGCGTCGATCGACGCACACCACCTGCGTCGATCGACGCACGACCAAAATTCACAGAATTTGGTTCGCGGTCGTTACACTTTTGATCTTCTGTCTTCGCTGTCGTAGTCAAAATTTCCAGCAGCTTTAGCAAATTAGTTGGTTTCTCCATCCACGGATCTGTTACCCTCTCGTATGTCCTCCTTGATCTAGTATCTTCATGCGGCAAGCCAGTTATGTGTACATATTCCCTTAGAGAGAATCTGATCGGTTGTTATGCGAACATATCGTCGTCTTTGGTTGTGCAAAGTCTCCTTTTCATAATGTGGGAGCACACATGTCTTGAGAAACAGACGTTTTGTCGGAGCTGGTATTCTGTGATAGGCCCAAAACAAGTGGCTTTGAGCCTCTCGAAACATTCCTTGGTTAGTGCATTCTTGTTTGTGTCATTTTATCGCACTTAAGAGCGAATATGCCAATCCTTGGAAGTATACCATCATTTATAGCGTCTTGGGGAACTAATGTGTTACACAACTTGTTTCCAGTACTCAAGTTGCAAATCCGCAAGAAAAAAAGATAAAAAACAAAAGAATCATTCGTTAAAAATGTTTATAAACCGTTAAAAATGTGTTAAATATGTTTATAAACCGTTAAAAATGTGTTAAAAATCGTTAAAAAAAGTTTATAAAAAACAAATCCCTCAAAAACAAAAATTTTGGGAGGGAACCTCAATTTTTCCCCAAAACCTTTTTTTCTGAAACTCTTCCCCTTTTTGACCAAAATCTGTGCAATCTCAGCATTCCAAACAAAACAGATTGGTTTTTGCAAAAATGCAGTTTGATTCTGAAACCCGATTTCACTCAAAATCTTCTTTTAAAAAAATATAAAAATCCCAACTTTTTTTTTCTTCAAAAACCCAATTTTGGAAAAGTGATATTGTAGTAAACGGGACTCCTTAACCCGATTTCACCCAAAATCAGTAAAACCTATGGTTCTTTTAAAAAAAAAACCATTCTTTTTTTTGAAACCCAGTTTTTTTCTTCAAAAGCCCTATTTCGGGAAGAGATATTTTGGAAAATAAGGTAAAGTCAGTGACTTTTACCGGTTAAAACCACCGATTCGATATCATCGGAATATAAATCTTACCGAAATCGAAAAAAACTCACAAAATTTTTCTTTTTGAAAACCTAGTTTTATGTTCGAAAAATGAAACTTAAACGCGAATTAAGTGCCAAACAAACTGTAAAATTAGAGATTTAACCTTCAAAAAGTAGTTTTTCATTTCAGTGTTCTTTAAGGTTTCGCAAATGTTCTTTGTCGTGTTAGAGAAGAAGCAGTTTTTTTTGTTTAAGACGATTCATTTAGACTTTCCTAGGGATATCTGGTAAACCGTGTAAGGAACTGGGCTTTTTGTGTGGACTTTTTTTCATTATTTGTTGGATATACAAATGTAAGTGTGCCTTCTTTTCTTTTTGTTTTCCTCTGGGCTTTTTTTGTTTTTAATATTTTTCAAATATTCAAAAGGCTTATAAGTGTTAAAAAGAATTATAAAACAACAATATCGTATCACAATACATAACTGGTTAAAAAACCTTTAAAAAATGTTATAAAACAACAATTTTATATAAAAAGTTTATGAAACCTTAAACGAGTTATACTTTAAAGGGACTAGGCGAATTTCGTCAACTCGTCGAAAATATCTGCGGCTTTCTTCGTTCTCATTTCTTCAACGGTGACTTCTGAAATTTTGCTCGCGAACATGATCCCCATTAAACAGCATTCGATTACCTTCAACATGTAGATTCTCGTATCTTCTAACGTTGGAGCCTTGTATATAAAACAAGAGATTATCAGACAAGTAGTTATAAAATTGTTATAATTCTTTTTAAAAAAACTTCTAATTCACCTTTGGAATTTTTGTGTCTATGTTGACTTCAAATGGAGAGACATCCATTCATGCATCTCCTCTGATGTAGTAGATGAAGTGTGGGAGCATGATGGCGAATGGGTTAAGCTTTTTTCTTGTCAGTTCCTCTGGAGTATTCTGATGGGAACAATCGTGAACAATTATCATTGAATTCACCAAGTCAATGATCAGCGCCACCCAACACTTTGCCTTCACCAAATAAGGCATATATATGAACAAAATGTCCTATCCAAAATCTTCTGTTCTGATCCCTTTTATTTGGAACTCGAATCTCTCCATTTCGTCAATAAACACATAATATTGTTCATCAATCAGCCCGAAGAATGAGGGTTGAAGAATTGAACCTCCTTTCCGGAAGAGGTCTGGATTCTGCTCCATGCGCTTATTAAACATCATCAAAGCTAAATCGACATGCTGCCAAATCATGTGTATACAAGAATGTGTTATAGACTGTTAAAAGCTGTGAAAAAACTGTATATTTTTTATCCTTAAAAATTCTTTATAAACCTTATAAATTTTTAAATCTAGGTTACAAATAGTCTTTATAAAGCGTTTAATATCCGTACAAATACTTTATAAGGTGGATATAAAAACATGTGTTATATAGACTGTAAAAAACTGTGAAAAACCTATATAAACTGGTTAGAAAAGTCTTTTTATAATCTGTTATAAAACTGTTAATTTTTTTATAAAATTGATCAACACA